ACTAATTAAAGATACCTAACAATCTATGTTAGTTGTATCGCCTCAAGCCCCTAGCACTGAAATGGATCATGAAAGAAAGTTGTTGATCTGAATTGATTTATGCTTTCTATGATTTTCTAGTAGTTAACAACAGAGATGTAAAAAACTAAGCTATATGTTAATTCAATTTTTGTACTTTTTGACATGCTAACATGTTTTTCTTCTAAACCAAAATTTCAAATTTATGAAAATTTTATCTTGTTAAGTAAATGTGTGTATTGATTGGGTAGATTTGGCACATATACTTTGCACACCAAATTCAATTTTTGCGACACCATTGTCACGACAAACAGCAAAGGTATAAGCTTAATGTTTGAATATTGTGGTTAATGATTGATTTGAATGATAAATTTGTTTGTTAGATAGCTGCTACCCTGGAAAGTCTTGGAGTAGAAATGTCCATCATGTTACTTGATGGGCCTAAACTTGAAAATTTTGGATCAGCTAGAGGCTTGGCTTTCTTGTATGCACACCCATCTCTCAATGCAGATTTTAAAAAGTTTTATGGTAAGAAATACCCTGTGTGCCAGAGCCTCAGAGAGTACCTTTGCCTGTTCTTCATCCCTTGACTCTCTGTGAGGCTGTGGCACCAAGGGTAGGTAAGAAATCGTGCTTTCTAAGATTGTAGCATACTCTCGAGTACCTAATAATCACTCTCCCCACCTTACTAGCTTTTGAAAAATTTTCCACCTACCCCCTTTTAATTCCATTTCCTTTCTATTAGTTAATTAATAGGCGAAATTATTTTGAACATGATAAGCGTAAGCGTAAAACATCTGTCACGTTAACTTACCGAAAAACCTGTCAGAGAATTCATGTCAAAACGCAAGCAGAAATGTAAAAAAGCGCGTTCAACAGAACCCGATATCACGAGTTCCATGCATCAGTAACATAACTAATTTACGCTTTAATGTATAGAGCTGGATGGTTCTAAGTTGTTACTTCGAGTTTCTTCTCACTTAGTCATCAGGCAACTGTTCACGCTTAACATCAAATGATAGGTGTATAACAATGAAACGGAAAACAACAATTTTTCAATTTGCCAACCTCCTCCCCTAATTGTCTAACCCACCCCCATCACCCCTTCGATTATTCTAACCCACGTTTATTCGCTACTCGAGAGTAATAACATTTCTGAAATATTTCATTTTTCATCAAATTTTTAGCTAAAATAGTTATATTTTCATCAAATGTTTTTTAAAATTACTTTTGTTCAATTTGTAATCAAATTTCACATGGCAATATGGCAGAGTTTTGGAACTTACCCTTCACACGGGGGCAATTTGATAATTTCATGTGGTGTATACAGGATTCTAGTAAATTTATTTTGAAATATAGCTGCGTCATAATCCTTGTTCATTTTAGATGTGGGCGATGAGAATGAAAAGAAGACCTATACATACAAGGATTTACAAGCCGTGTTTAACGAAGCTTACGGTAATAACCATTGAATCATAAGATACTAAAGATGTAGTGATAATAAATGTTCATAAGATACTAACCAAGAGAATCCCTTTCAAAACGAATTAAAATTTGATATTACTCTGTCACTCTTTCCAAACGTTTTCACAACCTGAAACTTTTGATTGGCAATTTGTTGATCAAAAAGCATTTTTACCAAAATTACCACAGAATCAGTCTACTAAGCTTTAAAGAATTACCTATCTGGCATTTTTATCCTTTCTTGAAGGTTTCATTGAATATTGAGAAGTCAATTATTTTGTCATCAAAGTTGTTTTTGCTAAACTTTATAAGCCTAATAATGACTTTCTAGTATTGTTAATTTATAGCTGAAGCAGTAAAAATTGACAATGCCAGAGTACCATACTTGAATGGCGCCTTTGAAATAGAAGGACTTCCTGAAGGTATCAACTGGAGAAAAGCAAATGGCAGCATAAAAAAACCGACAGATTATGGTCATGGTCAGATACAAAAGATCATGGAAAATCACAAGAAAATAAAATTTCTTGTAAAAATCAATGAATCACAAGGAGCAGGGATCGGTGTGAAAGACAAGGAAATAGAGATTCCCCCATGTCTTTTGAAGCTCGTGGATGCAGATGTCGCAGAAAGAGCTCTGAATGGTAATGGGAAAATTTCTCAAAACGATCTTAATGTTATTGTCAAGTTACGAGACGAGGAATCAAGACTATTGCTGCAACAGTTTGGCCACTTCTTTGATGAAAGTGCCATAAATAGCCTACTTAGTACTTTGTCCCTTGAAAGAGGGGTTATTCTTCCAATTTACACAAAAAGAAAAGGCAAGTTCTGGCTTTTCTATTATGAAGGAAATATTTCTGAGATTGATAATGCAGAAATGGAGGCATCCATCCCAGGAAAATGGTTAGACAACAAAACTGGAAATAGATACAAACTTTTGCCACAGCCAACCTCAATTAAGAAGTTGAACATAGTTTCCGATAAAGATGGCTTGTTGTTGTTTTTCTGTCATTTCTTTGAGGATGATGATGACATTGTTGAAGTCAAGAGTGACTTTGTGAAAGATGTACAGATGTCTTTAAAAGCGTTATCTGATTAAATTTGTTAGTCTTAAATGATATGTTGAAACATTTTTGTAACCAATTGATCTTACTATTTGTTACCTTATTAATTAATAAATTAATAATTAATAACCTTTTTCAAATGTAATGAATATAAATGTACAGATATTAAAACACAAAACACTAACATTGGTTATTCGTCAAGTCGTTACTGAACATCGAGGAACGAGATCCTAATTGCCTTTGCGTGTGCCAGTTTTTACTAACTTACAACCTTTTAGTAATTCTAGCAGACAATATGTTTTGTTAACATCTGCAAAGCTCAGAAAGACACTTCTTTGTTGATAAAGAAAAAGTCATTTTGACAAGAATTGAAGGAGAAAGGTCCAAGGATTGTCCAATGGTGTACTCCGTTAGCGACTAGCGGCTAGTATGAAAGTAGCCACTAAGATTCACCGTTTGTTGTCTGTCAATGAAATAATTTTGTATTAAGCCTAAAAAGTTTACACCAACACCCTAAGCATTACATTTGGCATCTAGTAAATTGTCAGAAGGCAGGAAAACAAATGTTTAAAGCTGAAATAGTAAGGACTGAAATAAGAAACTATAGCTAAATGATCCAAACTTCAAAAAGCAATATATATTCATAGGAGATCTAAAACAACAACAAAGAAAGAATAGAGCACTTCATTAGAAGTGGAAAAATTCAGCCAACCAGCAATTAAAAGGTAAAGGTAATTCTTGATCAACCAACCAGCAATTAATAAACAAATTTTGAAAGTAAGCATAGAGTAAGTTGAATGCTTAGAAATAAATAAGAATATGCAAAAACCCCAACTGTCGCAATACCAAAGTCGAAACCCTATCAAGGCAATAATATATGAACTTGGACTTATGTTCATGTTTCAATAAAAAAATGAAGACTTCTGTATCTATATAGACCAATAATCTGAAAACTGTTGTCTATGTTTTGCGCCACTTTTTGAAAATTGATGGAAGCAGTAGTTGACATAGAAAGCAAAGAAGGCTTTTAAGAAGTTAATTTTATGTCACGCAAGGTACTGTGAATTCAATTATAGTGAGCAATATAGTTTATCACATGTGCACCACAACTTTAAAGGCGCGTTATGTAAATGATTTCAGGTGCCGTTTTAACATTTTTTTAGGGAAACAAAAATGCATTACGAACGCTACCAATAGCCTGTTTCCAGCGCCCCGTCTCAAAGGAGATGATGATCCGAGCAGGCTTCGTGTGTTTATCATAAGATGAAAAATATGCTGATTGAATTATTGAAATATTACAATGTGTGGGGAAAAGATCTGTTACCAGGGCATACAGGAAACCAATATAGTCACTTGAACCCAGGGGTAATTCAGGCCTATGAAATCTGAAAGGGCTAGTTGTGGGCCATATGGAGATTGGAGGAGGAGGCAAACTTATGGAGGCAAGTTAACTTTTTTCAAAGGGCTTTTAATTGGAATGTTTTGAAATAGATTTATAAAAAAACCGAAAAATATTTTCATCGTCATCAATTATTGATTCTAAAATCTTGGGCCATGTCGCCTTCTGAAATCGAGCCTTCTGAAATCGAGGCCGACTTCATCCCTGTGAGCATCAATGGCTTGTAAATTTGGTAAAAGGTTCTCAAGTGGCCCTTGCTTAATGCACATTAAATTATTGTCGTCGGATCTGTAGAGACTGTAAGAAATATCCTTGGAATTTTTATTTGACGAAAGGGATTGAACGACCAATGAATAAAACGAAAATCTCTGCTTTTGACAAATTTTCTTATTTTGGCATCAGTGAATTCTTTTTTTTTGGTGGTGGGGGGGGGGGCGGGGGTTAAAAGAGAATTTACGGTAACTTAACTATCATAACTGAAAAGTATATCGATAATAAATAAAGCATCAAAAAGGCAACCTTCGTTTGTTGTTTTGAAAATTTATATTTCTTAATGTTAATTAAGAAAAAGTTTTCAAAATCCATTGAATCGGTATGTGAATGCATAACCATATAAAAGTTGCAACAGAAAAATCTCAATCGAAGTTGTTACAAAAATTTCTCAATTTAGGAGTTTTCGTATTTTCAAGTGTATATACGATTTATGGACAAAAATTTACCATGAAGGGTCTGGGGTGAGACAGGAACAAACTGCTATTTTTTCTTGAAAATGGTAGAGATTCAGTGAGAAAACTCTAAAAATCGCCAAATATTGTCTATAAACATGTACCGTTCAAATTGGGACGGGTCTGATACAATTTCAGGACAAATTTGTAAAAGTCGATTGGCAATATATTTTTCATAACATTTTAGAACATGAAATATCCAAGTTTCCTTCGAAATTCTTGCATTTGCCCAATAATCCAAGATCTTTTGTTTAAAACAAAACTTTTTCGCACTTATAGAAACTAAAGTGTCTTTTTTTGAGAATTATGCAGTTTACATACGATTTATGGACACCAATTTACTATAAGGGGTCTGGGGCGAGTCAGAAAAAACTGCTATTTTTTCTTGAAAATGGTAGAGATTCAGTGAGAAAACTCTAAAAATCGCCAAATATTGTCTATAAACATGTACCGTTCAAATTGGGACGGGTCTGATACAATTTCAGGACAAATTTGTAAAAGTCGATTGGCAATATATTTTTCATAACATTTTCGAACATGAAATATCCAAGTTTCCTTCGAAATTCTTGCATTTGCCCAATAATCCAAGATCTTTTGTTTAAAACAAAACTTTTTCGCACTTATAGAAACTTAAGTTGCTCTTTTTGGAGAATTATGCAGTTTACATACGATTTATGGACACCAATTTACTATAACGGGTCACCAAATCAAAACTCACACCATGTCTCTTCCAGTCTCGACAGACCCGAAGACAAAGATTTAATGTGCATTTAAGCATGGACCATGTGATAGCCTTTTACCAAAATACAAGCCGTTGGCACCCCGAGGGATGAAGTCGACCTTTTCGAATGCTCGATTTCCGAAGGCGACATGGCCCAAGAAGATATTTTAAAATTAATAATTGATGACGATGACAATACCATTGATACAGACGGCTTAATTTTTTTTTATTTCGCAAATAAAAAAAATTAGTTTACCACTGTAAATGGTTTTTTATTACAAAATATTTATTAAGGGCCCCTCTTTAATTTAGTCCCCCTCTTTTACATGCTCCTCTTTAGCGTCGAAAAATAATAAGCCCACCCGAGGGCTTAAAAGAGAATTTACGGTATTTTTAAATCTTAAATAACTGAAACTCCGCGTTAATGAAGGAATTCGTCAACTAGCATTTGCAAACAAGCGTACAACGCGTTTACCGTTTAAGTGCTAGTTCTTTAGGAAATCGTATCTTTTTGATGAATTGAAGTAGCAGATAGTAAGTAACAGTTTAAAATTTGAAGAAGTTACTCTCGCAACTGATTCTTTGGCCACCTATCTGGTCATTAAAAGTTCATCGCATTTCTTCTAAATGCAACTATTATAAGTTGTATATTATCTTTAACACTTTCTAGTATTATTTGGTTGATGTTGGTTTGTTGTTGGATCATCGTATTTGGTAGAGCCATTAATTGCATCTTGGTGCTTTGATTGAGATGTTTCTGGTCGTGGATTCCCGAGAACCATACGGTTGTGGATGGAAGACAGGATAAGATAGATGACATTTTCTTTTTGTTTCTTTGGTTCTTTTCATTGCTGTAAAAATCTAGACTGTAGTGTTTAGGACACGGCTTGCTCAAGGGCCGCCACATGTCCCTTTCGACTTCAACACTGATATTCTCCTTCCTTCTATTTCACTAGAATATAACCTCTATTTAAAGGCTTAGTCAGTCCTAAACCTTAACTCTCTATTAGAATGGTTTATGAATTTTGATAGTTGAAAATAAATTATGAATATTCTTTTAAATATGCTTTCAAAAAAACTGTAATACATTAGCAGAAAGTTTTTGAATTCATCAATGATGCATTGGCTATTTTCCTGAAGTAGATGTTTTTTTTCCAAAATGAGGATCTTCAACATTAAGGCCTCAATGTTTATGTTGTAAGGTGTAATCAAATCGTAAAACTATACAGATAGGATATTGCCACTTGTCAATTAGAACTCAAAAGCATTTTGAAGAATAAATGTACAACAGCAACACAACGACTCTCGAGGAATCATAATTTTAAATTGATACATGTCTGTTTTCAAGTGGAAACGTCAAGAACTGATAACAAGAAAAATATTGCACTTTGCTTAACTTTAAACCATCATAATTTAAACACGAATTCCCTTTATAATAGCAAGTTAAAAGATCATTAGCTAATGTTCAAAATTGTCATCAATATTCTTCGTCAGATTCAAGAGGATGAGCTGTCTTCACTCTCTTCGGTGTCTTCCCCTGGTCTGTGTTTATGCCATACTTGAACCATGTATTCCGGTTCTGGCTCTAACACAAAACTTCGGTATCTCAATCGAGAAAGAGCTTATAGCTTCACGCTCGCAAAAAATTTGTTTTATAAGCAAGAGTGAGTTGATAAAACCGAGTGATGCAGTCCTAAGGAAAATGCGTCTCTTTTTCTTGCAACGTTGACCTTTTCTTTGATATCTTTCATCAATGATAATTTGTGGCTCAATAGCCTTTTGCATTCACACGCCAGCTTTTCTCCTCTCGATACATCTCTTTTCTAATTCCTTTAAATCGATTATCTTCTTCTTCGTCTCAAATGGGATTTGCGACGCATTTTGTGTTGTGTTTGCAAGATAAGGCTTAGCAATAGTTTGAAAGATCTTTGAGTGCATATTCTTGGCATCGTCGAAAGAAATCTGTTTGATATCCACAGCACATGTTCATTTAGAACAGACAACCTTGCATTGTACTTTGAGATGAACTCTTTCATCCTCTTTGTGTGCTTTGACAGCTTTCTTGACAAGCGAATGGCCTGTTTTTGTCCATCTGAAAAACATAAAAAAATTACAAAGATACGTTTTTCATTAGTATAATGCAAATAATACAAAGGGTATAGAGTGTTAATAAAAATCTAGATGTAAATTAACTATAGTTTTTTTAAAGACCCTTTTTGAAAATAAATGGTATACAAAGAGGTACTAAACTTGCTAAAACATAAAAACAGAAAGATGGTGTCTAGGAAAACTTTATATTGACAACGAATAGTAGTAAAAGTTATTTAATAGCTTTGAACATGCACTATCTACTTCATAGAAAAAGAAAAGAAAGTTTTAAATTGTACTAAAATAATGCATTCTTATAACAATACTTACGTGAATATTTTTCTTTAAGCAAAATTTGCATCTGTCGCTCAACTGCCATTGAATGCAATTGCTCAAGAAAAACCACAGACTTCCTCTTTTCAGCTAACCGCATTGCATTAATGAATGATAGGTCATTAACTTTCCACCTTGTTTTTACATTTCTTTTCTTCTCAATTAATTTCAGCTTCATATCTGACCTGAAAGGAATTTTATGATATGTGCTGTCATTTGTAGTTAAGAAAAATTAATTATGAAAAATAGGCATGGGGAAATGAGCAACCAACCTGAGATACGCAAAAGTGTTTCAATTATTTTAACCACCTTTGATAGGAGCAAATATAAAGAAAGAAATATTTCATTTGAGTCAATGATTAAAAACAACTTAAACCACATACAGATATTCAATAGCTGCCGTTGGACAGGACAACATGCCTTGCAGTTTTATTAACATACACAAGAATTATAAGCCGTTCACAAGAATAAAACTACACATAACGGTTGGGATATACAAACCAAAACAAGGTCTAAAAATACCTCTTCAAGCTAGAAATAATTGACTTCGAGCCTTCCTTTTCATCAACAATCTCAGAACTTGCTAAGGAATTCCTGCAACAAATGACGAGAAAGACAATTTGAATATGGTAGGTTTGTATATTCTGGCTATTGTTTCACAAAATAAATTTCTATTATATTACATGATTATCATTTAGGAAAACGTGCATCTTGCAATCTATGGATAGATGGAACATCTTGTCTACTTTAACGACACTTCTCATCAATGTAAGGAATTTAAAAAAAATATGCAGTGAAAATGTCTATAGTCCATCATTATAAAAGCCCTGACCTCAAAAGAAAATGGTTCCAAAGAAGTGAAGCATAATCACATCGCCAGTCATCTTCGTTTTCTTGGGAAACTATTAAAAGAAATAGGAAATAGGGATGGTTTTATCACTTAACATTAAAACTGACGTAGTTCTCTAATCTATCGTAATAAAACAGAAAATGAAAACAAATTTACAAATCTATAATAAAAAATCATCAACGAAAAAATGAGAATTACTGACTACCATTTGAATTCTTGGAAAAAAATTGGATTTCCTCATCCTTCCACTGTTCTACGGTGTCTGCAGTAATTTCTTTTGGCAATTCTATGAAGAAAATGTTCTAAAATGTTTGCAATGTTCGCATAAAAATGGATAAATGAACTAAATAAATATACTTTCAAAAAAGCGTGTTCAATCACGAAACACACAAACTATTATACTTATATAAGAAGGCAATGAAAGATTTGTTGTTCGTTTCTAAAAGCAATGCAAAGTAAATTAAATTCATAAATAAAAGCCTAAAGCTATTGTGGCAAAAAGAGTGATGAAAATCACATACATACAAGATATTGTGATTTGACAAAGAACAGATCTAAGTAATACAAACAAGCAACATTACTAATAATTGAGTTTGCAAGCATAAAAACATTATTTCCTTACCTGGAATCAAAGTAAAAGTACTCCTGGAATCAAAGTAAAAGTATCTCTTAATTCACGAATCGTTTTACTTTTCATTTCTTTGGCTCTTTTCAAGGAACGAATAATCGTTTTACCTATAAAATGTTGAGGGTAATAATTGATAACAAATTTATTTTCGCTACCCATTATATTAACACCAATTTGTTTTGAAGTATACATTTTCTTATTAAAGACATCATTTATTCACACAAAGATTATTAAACTGCTCAAAAAGTCACATTAGCTTTTTAGATTTTAAAACTTGGCTAGAAGTCATAACAAAGAATCTGCGTAAACCATTGTCATCATTCAAATTTCCACAAATTTCTCTAAGTGTTTACTGTCTAACCTTGATTATTCAACATGCGTCTGGCATAATGGAGCAATGCCTCTGTCAGAGTGTCAGTTCTTCTATTAGATTTCATTTCTTTAGTCATATATGAAAACTTTCGAAGATATGACCACAATCGTTCAATTCCTTCTCCATCAGTTAGCCCTAATCCATCACAACGTCGAGGAGAATACAGGACCTTAGATGAAGAATCAAAGCAAACACAATAAAAAGAAAATAAAGAAGAGAAATCGTGTTATTGGCTCTTTGCTGTTTTGCATTTACACAGAAGGTAGAAAAAACACAGGTCATTCAATCAAATATTTGTTAACTAGAAGAGTTTCAAAGGATTGTCAGACCAAAGAATGTAGTGCTTTAGGGTTTTCTTTAAGTGGCTGGCATCTTCATTAAGTAAATACACTGCAGTAAACAATTCATTTGTTTACAATATAAGAAGTTCATTGAGACTTGATATTAAACTGAGAAGAAGTACACACCAGGCCTGGCTATAAGAATTTTAACAGGGGAGGAGTAAACAGCTCTTCTAGTAACTTTCAGGTGAGCTATTTGTAGATAAATAAGAATAGAAACAAAGGAAAGCCTGGAGGGGAGCATTTGAGGAGAGCCTGGAGGGGAGCATTTGAGGAGAGCCTGGAGGGGAGCAAGAGCTATCTATGGCTCTTCTCAAAACATCAGGCCTGGTCCACACCAATATATTGTGTCACTTACCTGACATCTAGATTTATGGACATATGAATGGAAAATTGGGATTCCAAATTGTATCTTGTCAAAAATATCTTCCAATCCATAATCTTTATTATTCTAAATGGGAGGACAAAGGAATTTTCAGAAAAAGTATGAAAACATCTCCAAAATATATCTTACAAAACTTAAACACTTTGGTACAAGTTGCAACAGAGAGTTCCAGCTGTAAATATCTTCTAAAAACATACTTGCAAGTGCACATCCAGTATGCAGGCAATGTCATACATGCATTTTAGCTTCACTTCTGGGGAACTCTTGTAAGGTTCCACCATTCTTTTCAGCTCATACACTGCATAAGCAATTCTGAAATAAAAAAAAATTGACACATATTTATCAGAAAAATAAATCTTATGTTTATAATTGTAAAGTCAAAGTTAACCAAAATGAGCTCAACTAACCGTTCTCCATGCTTAAGACTGATGAAGCCTTTTGGGTGACCATGCCGACAAATTCGACCAAGTACTGCTTTCTCGTCATATTTTGCATTTTTCCCTTTTGATCTTATCGAATCTGTTATTTCTCCAGCTTTGTATTGATTACATGGCTAAAAAAATGAGCCAAGATAAATAAAGCAGGTTATACAGCCTAAAAGTCATATAAAAGCAAAACTAACATGTTTGGTTCTTTATATTTTCTATTTTCAACATATTTTAAATTTGATAAAAAAATGATATTGAAATGAATGTCAAAGAGTCATACAGTACGTTTGGCAGTATTTCTTAATTATTTATGTAATTATTCTGTTTCATAGGATGTGTTGGAATGTGGCTATTTCTTTAAACATAACAAAAGGTGTGTGGCGCTATCACTAAATTTATTTTTTAGGCATTTAATAGAAAGTCTCTATTCAAACTACAAGCAAAGTTAAGTTTAAGAATATTACATTTTCAGACTTTTTGATTTCCTTTGAGTGTTTTAAAACAAAGTTGTCCACATCATTCTGATCTGCAAACATTCTGGTTTCAAATCTAGGGCAACTGAAACTGGTACCAGCACTCTTCTTTCTCACAAAACCAAAACATGCATCAATTATCTCTATGAGGGGTCCATCATCACCAGGCTGAAGAATAAAATTTCCAGTTCAAGAGGAGAAATATAGACTGAAATCTGCAGAAAATTTATCTTCTTTTGAACAAACAACATCCTTCCATCTCAAATTATTTTAATAAGGCAGTCGTGACAGAATTTACAAAGGGCTTAATAAGCTAGAATTTAAACATCTTGAATATTGCCATAATTTAACTTAAAGATAACAAAATCATTAATTATAAATTCATAAGTAGCTTGAACTAACATAGCTATAAAGCTGTAGGGTGATAGGATAATAAATAATATATTTTGACTTACCCTTGGACATAAGACGCAATCGTCTTTTTGAATACCAAGAGAATCTTTAAAAAATCTTGAATGAAGAAATTTCATTCATTGTAAGATCAAATTATAATTAAATAGGCTGCAGTTGAAATTTCAACTTATAATGACAATATTTACAATTATTTTTTGCTGGTACAAATTGTTTGCAAATTTTAAGCAGGGGTACAGATAGGTAAGAGCTTGATCTCGGCATATTTTCAAGCTAAGTGGTAAGCTGAGGATGACCAGGCTCTCTTTATATTTTCTCGGTTTATGTTTGACAAACTAAATTGTTCCAAAAATCATTACTACTAAAAACATCAGCAATAGAAAAACTGTCTTCATTCTGAACAGAAAATTCAACTTTAATTACATTTTACAGCACACTGTTATTCCATTCTTGTCAAAGAGGAAAGATCATAAACTTACCGAAACTCATCAAATGATGAAGAGTTGAGAACTGGGTAGATATGCTGTACCTGAAATAATAAAATAAAATAAAATAAAGTATAGCTAGGGCTTTTCTTATCAAGCAAAAAATCACAAGTTGACAAAAAATCAAACAAGAATAGAAGCTCATACCCTGTTAATAAAAGTATGAGACACGTTCCCAATATGGATAAAATTGGATATTTACATAAACTGGTAGCAAAGGATGTCTCCACAATGAGATCATTGCACAAAGCTTATCAAGCGAGCAATGGCATTCAAAAAGAAGTTGACTGAAGAGGTCCATCAGTTGCAAATCAAAGGCAACTCTTGGTCTTTCTATTGTCCCAGGCCAAAATCCCATGGACACTAGAGCCTCTGCATCTGACTGACATGAGCAAAACTGCACTTTTTTAATATGCTGTCGCCCTGAAAACAAAATAATAATGTTACATTTAAAACTTTTAAAAATAATTGTGCATAAGTAATGTATTTCATATAATTTTGCACTCACATAAGCATACATTTTTAATTGATTAATCATATGAAAAAGACTACTATTTTATGACAGTTGTTTCATTTAAACTCACTGATACATGGCTCAAAATACTATCTTTAGCATAAATAGCATATTTCATTTGCTCAACAGCTTAACCACATTTAACTACAATTTATAAGTAATTTAAACAATTCTTGCAAAATTTATTGATGTTTGTTGTTTCCATGCTTCTTGGCATGATGGAGAAGTTATGGCACTATTTTAAGAGTCTCTGTAACACTTAGAAAATTGTTGTACTTTATTATAATATAACAAGTGTCTATAAAACCTATTAGTACCTTGCAAGTCTAAGAATATAATTTCTCTGATGTCATAAATGGTGCCACATGAACCATGACCTGGTGGTGTTAAAATTTTTGTGTTGGGAAACAGGGGGATGAATGCACCATCCTATAAGTATGAAAATAAACTACAATCAGTATAATGTGCATACAAAACGAGTAATCCTAAAACTAAAAACAATGTGATACAAAATCTTAAACAACTTTGTGTGAAACAACGAATATACAGAAGATTTGTACTGCTTGAATAAATGATGATTTGAAGTGTGATTCAATCATGCATATTAAATAAATATTTGCTTTAAAGTACAGATGAAATTGTTGTCTTGCCTAATCATATAGGTAAATACCAAAGGATGCAAAAATATGAGAACAAGAAATGCAAAGCTCACCTTCCATATCTCCAATACATGAAAAAGGTTGCGGTCGCTATGAATCGATGTGGCACAGCTTAGGCAAAAAACCTGCTTCCAGCCACAATCTTTGCAGCGGCATACAGCCATGTTTGGCAGTCGCCTTCCAAAATCTTCACATGCAGTGCAAATTGTGCTGTTAGGCAAAAACTGCTGTGACACGAAAGCTTCTTGTAATTTTTGGCGAGAATTTTCCCATGCAGTTTCTTCCCTTCGTTTTCTGGTGCTATAAGAAGTGGCCTGTGAATTTTCTTGGGCACATCTGTTAGCAATGATATCTGTTTCATTATCATATCCATGCGGTTCACAAGGAGGAAGGCTTTCTGATGGTGGTGGTTGCTGGTCAAGACGTAAATTAGGCCACTCAGCTTCCCTTTTCTTAGCACTAGTCAGAGCAGGACGATTGCATGTAAGTGGAATCTTTCTCACTTTTGAAGCTCCATTGCACTTTACCACCTTTACTGAAATTGTTGGAATACGTGCTCGGCAATAATTTCTCTTTTTTCGAACCGGCGCCATTAACCCAAGAGCGATGTTTGTGTTGTGGTTGTGCTACAGTGTTCGCTACAAACAAATTGCCAAGCGCCTTGACAACTCAAAAGCCCCAGGGAAAACAGCGCCGCAGCTAACATGTGTGGATCTATGATTGTGTGAGATGATTAGAACATGGTTATTTGTCCAAATTCTAAATCACCAGATGGCAGAGATGATCATCTGGTGTAGCTATTGTCTATCTTCTAAACTTTAGAATATGGATAATCTCTATTTAGAACGTGTTATACCGGTGGTTTGAGCAGGTAGCAGCCATGAGACCTTCTATATTTAACACTACTTTTTTCAATTGATACCTGATGTCTATTCTATATGACTTTGATACACACCATAAATATAAAGGAAAATTCTAGCATAAAAAAATAGTAACTTATTTTATTGCAGATCTATACCAGCCCGGCAATGGTGTCATTCTCGAGACATGGGATCTTTCAACCGCCCACAGCATCGACAAATTTGACAATATACCAGATTTTCCAGGATGTCCAACAGGGGTGGAAAACGCAGACAATTTTGAAACAGATAAAAATTGCACAAACGTTATTCGGCATGGCCGTTACAGAGGGACATTTGTCTCCCCTCAAACTGGAATACACAAGTTCTCTGCTATCTGCGACAACCAATGCAATGTATACATCAGAAACATTCCGGATGGATTTACAAAGATAATTTCAATAAGTTCAATAACAGAGGATAGATGGGATAAGAGGTAGGCTGTACTGGAAGTCGTAGCAAGACAATAGAGTATCTCATAAAAGTTTTTGGCCTTATTAAACACCAAAATTATCAAGTTTTCTGACTGAGTGAAGCATTTTGCATTTAAAAAATTTCCAAAGGAGGTACAAATTAATAGATTTTAACGCAAGAAATATTTTAGTGCCACAGCAGTCATATTCTTGCAAGAGAAATCAGCTTTTTGAGTCTTTGAAAAGACAAAATGCTTGTTTTATCGATATTAAAATAGCAGTATAAAGTACATCAATCATTATTCCCGCGATTACGCGGCTTTGGCTTTGAATTTGAGAGTGGTTGTTTCCTCTTTTTCAGCTTCCTATGTCTTCCCCAGAGCCATATAACCATTTATATTAGTGGAAATAAGCAAAGGCTGACAGAAGGAAATAATTCACACATTCTAAAGCTTTTGCATTTCTTTGATAGTTCCATAAAGACTATCTGAAAACTTTTCATTTAAAAGTTATCTTCAAGATAAATCTAAAGGTGCCTTTTAATTTCTGTAGCAGTAACAGTTAACATGCTAGAGCTGTTTAAAAAAGATGCGACCACTTGCCGGCAAAGGATGTGTCACCTGACCATCAAGAAAGATACTTTTGAAAAAAACGTGTTTTTCCAACTTCAATAATAAATGACAAAAGGCAAAATAATTCAATTCAATATCTATCAAGGTCTTTTAGCGAGAGCAATTTAAATCTGCAGCCGTCTTTCCCCCCCCCCCCCTACAGGGCCGCCGGAGCAAGGGGGCCACGGGGGCCCAGGACCCCTGTTTGCAAAAGTATAAACAAGTGCCCCTTTTTAAAAAATATATTGCGTCTCTTTTTCACTGCCAGATATTCTGCTTTTAGACCTTTTGATACAAATTCATGCTAGAACCATTCGTTTTCTAAAACTTCTATCTAAGTATATCGAAAAGCAGAGTTCACTAAATTTCATTTTAACAACAATCCTTTTTGGTATAAGACTATAATTGGAACATATTGCTTACTTTCTATGAAGAAATGAAAAAGTTGTGTCCCTACAATGACTACATACTAGCAAAGACTTAAACAAGGGCTTAAATTTCTTATCTAGGATTAGAAAAATATACAAGACTAGATACTACTGCAAAATTTGTTGTACTTCAATGTGCCATTGATTTACCTAAAAAATTATCTATAACATCATATCAGTAAATCCCTGTCCTTTTTTGTTTTCTTCTGACTGATTAAACAAAGCAACACTTATTTCAAAATTCTTTGACCTAGAATTCTTGTTTTCAGAACACCCTTTCTGCGAATTTTTTGGAACTCACATGAAATACTTTTGACCAACTGACTGAGACCGCCGCTAAGAAGAGTTAAAAACTTATTTCGTTCATAAGAATGATGAGATAAACCTAATCAATTTTAATGGCTTTGAAAAAAGCAAACAATTAGTAAACTAAAGCTTTTCGTCTGACCCTCTTCAGAGTTTAAAACGTCAGAACATAGATCAAAAACTTTACGCTAAGAAATATATATACCCAGTTGTGGATCGAAATAGGCCAATCAGAAACACGAGCACATGACTGTAAAGGTTGACCAATCAGTGCCGCTTGCCTATTAGAATGTTACCAGTGGAGTCCTAAGATGAAAACGAACTCCTTTTGTCTAGAGTTTTTCAAAGAATAACATTGATTTTATTGCAACTTGAAAATTCTTATATAATCCTTTTATAAAACAATACCAATCATATCATCGAACATGTTGTTTAATGATCATTTGAAGTTACTGCATTATATGAATAGAAAATGAAAAAAAAGCACAATATGTCGACCATTTATCGCCACTTTAATAAATGAAAACATATATCTTTTTTATCCTTCCCTAGTGTCGATTCTGACGGTGTGGATATAGTCAAAGGCTTTAGATATGACATGATGGTATATCACAAAGGTGATTGTGTAGGCAAAGATTTTGCTCGAGTCGGAGTAGTGTTTCCGGATTTGACAGAGGTTAAGCCTATAAATAAAACCTACTTGCAACGATCAATGGGTATGTAAGGAATTTTAGCAAATTATGTAACTTTTCATATTTTAGATTATCTGCCCAGGGGTGTCACCTCTAATCCGCAGTTATCAAGTATCAAGAAAACTTAACAGACCAATAATTATCAGCTAAATTGACTCAAATGAAAACTTATAACTGATGCTTTTTTCGTGTATCTCTTAATAGGGGGCAACTTTTTGATTCAATTATTCAAAAGATCAATCCATGTTTGAAAAGATGAGAAGCAATTATACATGACTACTTGTTAAAAACAAATAATAATAAGGCATAGATAATATGGAAAATTCTTGCACCATATCAAATCGGGACAACATTGAAGTAATGACTTTGTCTTAAGGCCCTATTACACTATCACATTCAGGTACAATTTGCTTCACATTTTTTCTGTGATCGCAGAAAACGAGAGAATGTGATAGTGTAAGTCACCGCTTAAAGTTGCTTGTATTTGCTTGTTGAGTGGAAATTTGATCCATATTGAGGAATTTTAATCCATCTTGAGGAAAAAACTTTTGATCGCTGTTCAAAAAGATTTCCATCATCTTCAAGTTTTTCAAAGGAGCCGACAATTAACATAAAATATTGCTCACGTGACGAACGTTATAACGCGCAAGTTTGTTTTGAGTAGGAGTTGAGTGAAATTGAAAAAGTGGAGGATTCCGGAAACGAATACCAAGAAAGAAGAAAGAAGAAGCAAGGCTGCAGCAGCATTGATAATCTATTCTTTGGTCAAAAAGAAGGTCAAAAATTCCTTGAACGTTTCTTTGGTGGGCCTTCTGTTGTTGTTCGCAACTGTGGTGTCGCTGTCTCTTCAACTTCTTCATACAGAATATCTGGATCTTTATTTCTAAGAAAAACAAACTAGGTTACTTGTCACGTACGTTCATATTGTGAAATTAATCGAAATTGGCCTAACTGATCATATATCCTTTCGGAATTTCCACAATTGGAAATAATTATTTTCAAAAATTTAACTGATATCTTACCTTTGCTCTTCCTGACATCTTTGTGCCATCCACTGTTTAAATCTTGCCAATTCCGATTCACTCATTCTTTAACTACGATTTTTTGTCGGCTAAAATGTTCGTCACGTGAGCAATATTTTATGTTAATTGTCGGCTCCTTTGAAAAACTTGAAGATGATGGGAATCTTTTTTAACAGCGATCAAAAGTTTTTTCCTCAAGATGGATTAAAATTCCTCAATATGGATTAAATTTCCACTCAACAAGCAAATACAAGCAACTTGAAGCGGTGACTTACACTATCACATTCTCTCGTTTTCTGCGATCACAGAAAAAATGTGAAGCAAATTGTACCTGAATGTGATAGTGTAATAGGGCCTTTACTGACGTTTGAATCTAAAAAGTTGTTGTTATATTCTGATGTTGGTATTGTTGGTATTTCCTGTCTGTAATTGCAAACGCAAAAACCAAGTTCACATGTCTTCCTGTTTAGATGGTCCGTCTGCTTGCTAACTATAAAACTTCAACCATTCGATGATAGCTGGGGATGCAGATCTCTAGATTTGCATTTCTGACATTCCTTAAAGTCATTGAGTCAGGGTGAATAGGCCTTCTCTACAGGGGATCATTTGGTTTCGAGGTGATCGCTGCTGTTCTATGTGATATTTGCATCCGTTGTTGACAACTTGCAATTGATGGAAATTGTATTGTCAATTAGTACGACCAGTTCCAGGTCAACCAATAGCATCGCAGTCATGAAAACCATGACCCACCTGATTTTGGCACTTAGGGTATACCCAATCCATTTTATCATAACTCAATGCCTTTAAGTGTAACATTTGGCAATAATACAACGTAGTTGAATTGCTTCCAGTAAATGTCGAGTCTTTGACATTCAATAAATAGAAATTATTTTAGGCCAAAATTGTGAATCTGTGCGGGATCGTAAAATCGTTTGAATTACGAAAAGTTCAATTTTTAAAAGCTATTCGAAGAAATATAATCCTGAATTAGTCCTCTAAATATTAATTTGTTACCCTTTTATGAATTTAATCGAGTATCGTGATTCATAGAGTTCTTGCCAATAAAAGATAAGAGATTCTCGAGGATCCTAAAAAATTTGCTCGAATTAATGCAGGATACAATTTCACGAGTTCAGATGGGAAAGTACAAAAAACGGTTAATTTGCAAAAGGAAAATCACGGTTGTAATTAGCTAGAAATCGGCAAATCACTGTTAAAAATGCAAAATAAAATATTTGTATTTCGTATTTGTATTTGTATTTGTTTCTACCTAGCATCCGAAGGTAGTTTTTAGGACACTGAGATGCTTATGCTTATCGAGCAGTGTTCTGGTCCTTGCGATTCTCCTCACTCTGGGTGAAAGTTTGGTTATGCCAGAGACTCGAACCACAGACTCTTGGGTCTGAAGTCAGCGCCTATAATAGGCAGGGCATTCCTCTCAACCATCGACCGCGTTGCCTAACCTTTTTTTCTCGGCTGATTATGGAACTATATTGTATAACAAATAATTTAAAGGTCATATGAAACGAAATTTTTTATTGGCCATTTTATGCAAATTGATGGCGCTGATTGCGAAAATCTTGGTTAAATTTTCGAAAGATACCTGTAAGACACCAAAATTTCAACTTTAAAACTTAATTTTGGAGACCAAAAGTGATACCGGGGTCTGGGACGAGAAGACAGGAAGTGACGTAATAGGTTTGACATGTTCTTGGCCTTGAAGCCGTAGTAAACATAAACATTAAGCAACTGCAGAGGAGACGTATGGTAATTTTGATTTGGATCAGTCTTCGAATGAATTAAATGAGTGAGGTAGCATTGGCTGAATTTGGTTGCCTTTCTAGCTTTACTAGCACATAACACCGGGGGCGCCTAACACCGGTATCCTCCGAAAAAGAATCGTCAAGCCTCGTCGAACGATGTGAGGGAGAGGACTAGGACCATCCTGGGCACAGAATACTTTTTCTCTTCTGTGTCCTGGGAATGAAGATTGCGTTTGATCAACACAGCATGGAGTTTGGTTTGAGAGACATATTGCCTTGAATCAAAGGTAAACTAAATTCTTTATTTTTCCATTATCTTTACAATTTATAGTATTTCAAGGCAGAAACTTTCACAAACACGAGCCTGGCCTACTGGCCTAAAGCAAACGGGAGACTAACCTGATAAACAGACCTTACTGTGTGTAAGCTTTCACTAGATTAGCGAACTCTATTTCATTAAATTGGTGGGAAAAGGGAAAGACTGAATCGTGATTATATTTTTCTATCACAGGTGCTTGTGTACAAAGTGCTCAACATAATCGCTTATCAGACAAGGAAGTACTGCTGCAGCCGAGAAATAAACGAGACGTAGGACACGCTCACATCTGATGGTTTAACAAACAGGCATGAATAACGGTGTAACAGAATAAAACCCCTTCAAGGATCTTGTTCACAAAGACGTTCTCTTCCTTGCCGGCTCATATTTCAAGGACAAGACTCAAAGGCAGTACGAACTGCTCTCACTTGTGCAATAAAAACAACACTTGCTGTTGAATCAGGAAGTGTTGTCACAAGGAACTGAACGAACATCAAGTATTTCCCCAGGGCCGCCGAAAGCAAGGCCGGGCCCAGCCCAATGCTTGGAATCCTACCAAAAATGTATTTGATATGAACTTGAAAAGCAAAGAATTTTTTTCATGTACTTGAGATTTATATTCCTAAAGTCTTTTTTAAATTTTCTCAATGCAAATTACCATGTCATAACTACAATTTGATTATCCTTACAAAATTATTTTGCTGCACAATGTGCATATAGTTTTCTAGAACAATCTTGTTGTACGTACGTTTGCAAAGTTCCATGACTGATTTATGGGAAAACCCTTCAAATTCCTTGGACTTCCTTGTATTTTGCAACTGATTTTTGAAAAAAATCCTCAAAGGCCTGGGAACAGGTACCCTCGTCTAAAAATAGCTCAAGGGGTACTTGACAGTTGGGGGCAGTATCCCATCTTCAGCGATCAAGTCATGTACTTGCAGCACGATTCTTGCTTTAATTGTGTTTTGAAACGGATTTTTGGGAAAAAATCCTCAAAAGCCTGGAATCGAGTACCCCAGTCTAAAAATAGCACAAGGGGTAATTTGCCACCTTCGGTCTGCATACTATCATTTTCAGCGTATCAAACTATGTATTTTCACAAAGTTTCATGCTTTAATCGCGATCTTCAACTTATTTATGGAAAAACCCCTTCAAAGGCCTGGAATCAAGTACCCCAGTCTATAAATAGCACAAGGGGTAATTTGCCAACTGGGTTCCACGTTTTTTTTTCAGCGTATCAAACTATGTACTTTCACAAAGTTTCATGTTTTTATCGCGATCTTCAACTGATTTATGGAAAAACCCCTTCAAAGGCCTGGAATCAAGTACCCCAGTCTATAAATAGCACAAGGGATAATTTGCCAACTGGGTTCCGCACTCTATCTTTTTCAGCATATCAAACTATGTACTTTCACAAAGTTTCATGCTTTTATCGCGATCTTCAACTGATTTATGGAAAAACCCCTTCAAAGGCCTGGAATCGAGTACCCCAGTCTAAAAATAGCACAAGGGGGCATTTGCCAGATAAGATATGCATCCTATCTTTTTCAGCGTGTCAAGTTCTGTATTCTGACAAAGTTTCGTGCTTTTATCTTGTTTTGCAAGATTTTTTTTATCAACATCACTGACAAAGGTTCCAATGGCTATGGAAGGGACGTGTCAAACCTATTACGTCACAGCGTCGATCTGACCGCGTTCGAGTGGCATCGCTTTTGAAGGTCACTTTTTCGGGCTTTCGAGCGCCATATCTAGACAAGTTGAAGTCGTAGAATGAAAAATGAAACGGCGTCTTGACAAGCGAAAAAAGCTCTACCAAATATGTGAACATCGTTTTTCGGTTCATATGACCTTTAAGCCCTTACAACATTTTCAAAAACTTCTAAACTGTCGTATATACAATTCCGTCTGACTTCAATATAACTGCTAGATTCGGGCTCGCCTGAAGAAAAGCTTTCCAATGATATATACATATCACTATTTTAATGACGTCAGCAATTCTCAATGATGACGTCATCACTTTCAAAATGGCCGTCGACCAGCGAGCTGACTCTGATTTTGCTAGGCACAATTTGGCATTATCGCAATTTTACATTATGCATGATTTTGCTTGAAACTTTCTTATAACGGAGAAGAAGCTCCTCCTTCGCCATCCACAGTTTTTCATTATTATTCTTTTAATTTTATTAATTAAATAAAATAATTGTTTCCGAAGATCGGACCTGAAGCCGTCCGCACGAAACCGAGCTTTGCACAAAGGCCAAGGGCTTATATCATTGGCATTGCCAGGAGACAGGAGGAAACAGTTATTATATGGTTTATTATTTCAAAGCCTTTATTTAATAACCCTGACTGGGCTAGATAACTTGCCAACCACTCATAAGATGCCTGTCTATCCAGTATGCAAGGAAAATACCTTGATTCTTTCTTAGATATGATCTTGACATATTTAATGTTTTTGTTCATGCGGATGAAATGGGGAAGGCAAAGATAAACCAAAATATGTGAACGAATGCTGACTTGTATAGCCAGGTCAAGGTGCTGATGGGTTGCTTTTATCAACTCATGGGTTCACCAACGTCTTTTCCAAAAAACCCACACAGTCAATGCCCATAAGCAATGGCAGATTGATGCAAAAAACTGTTGATTCTTGAAAATCGTCAAAAAACTGAAAAGTGTCTTGAAATCGCTAGGCTGAACAATTTGTCTGCTTTGTTGAGCATGGTAACAGCTGTGCAGAAAAGCAACACTAAGCTACTTTTGCAAGCAGTGCGAAATATGATTCTGCTTACATTTGCATTGAATCACATCAACTATGCCCGCTACTGTGCATACCAGCATCTGCTTCTCCATTGCACTTCAATCATTACAGGGTGACGCTGAACAAACTACCGCATTTCAAGATTGGAACAAATAAGGATTTGGCGGAAATTTCAAAACAAATTCTCTGCAATTCATTGCGATTTACATACAGAGCTTTTTAATCACGATCCAAAGGGACTGCAGGTCCATACATGTCTGGATTCAGCAAACGTTAATGCGGTTAACACTTGGATTGCTACGTCCCACATTCATAGCAAGTTTAGAGAGGCTCTGAAGCAATACTTTTTCGTAAAGTCATCATCAATTCACAATTACAGCATTTCCAGGTGGAAGAAAGCTCCTTCAGAAGCAAAATGATAGCCTTAGAGAACTCTTCAAAGCTATGGAACCAATCGGTTTTCTGCTGCTCCTGCAAAATCGACTTTAACTGGTAAAGAATTAGATCAATAAAATTCTACTGACCTCCTTGCAGCGTCGATCATGGGAGAAGAGAATATGCATCGCTTCACAAATGATCGCCTGATTAATGGCAGCGTTTAATTCTTCACGCCGATCAAGAAAAACAAAGTTGAAGATAGATCTTGAAAAGGTCAAGGGGACCCCTTGTGCAATTACCGTGGTCAAGGAACACAAAAACAGGCCTTTAACTACTCATTTTGAAGGCAGGAAGTCTGCTCGATGCATTTACTCATCCCATGACAACCGTTCCTCTTTCAATTACTATCGCTACAGCTGGTTTAACTTTGTGTCAGTCAGACAAAGTAACTTTGCAACGACTCTTGCTCGAAGAGTGGCAATGGGTCAAAGACATGCCTCCGAAGTCTGCCGTTTGGATAGTAGACGGAGTGGCAGCAGTTCGCTCCATCAAACCGATGCCAACGTACCGAGCGCGGATGCACAGCCTTATCAAATTTATTGCTCCTGAAGCTGGGTATAAGTTGGTGAACCTGGGCTAAGAGGTCATTTAGAAGTGTATTACCAAAACACGTTGCAAGGATTTAAATGCCGTGATCTCCTGTATCGAAATTAGAAGCAAATTGATTTTATAAGACTGATTTCTGAAGGAAGACACATTGGGCTTTTGCTTTTCTCCATGTAAAACGCAAGTGGTTCCCATTTCGGAATAGATGTTTGCCTTAATCTACAGGCTTTACATGCTTTATCTGGGTGTAATTCTAAATCCTATTTCCCAGGGCCGTAAATCCCGGGGGGACGGGGGGGGGGGACTGGACCCCCCCAAAAATCTGGAGCAAAACGATTTTTTTGGAGAAATTATCATCATTTTTCTTGGAAGAAAGAAATCCCTGGTAGCCGGGTTAGAACCAAACTACGTTTTCTGTGTTATTGCAACAAACCTCAGCCACTAAGGTTATTTTTGTAAGCAGAGTGGTTTTTATAATTTTTACAATATAAAAACTTACCGTTTTCTACCGTTTTTTACCGTTTTCTACTGTTTTCTACCGTTTTATTTTTGAAAACAGAGTATGAAATAAAAAGAGAGCAATCTGTCATTTTATTTGACCTATTTACTAACTTATTTACGTACATTTCTATTATTTGTCTATTATTTATTTTTGTTTAGTAAATCACTTTTTGTATCATTAAAATGTATTCATTTTTGATGTGTAAGCATGGCCTACTGAAATCAGTCAAAATAAGGAAGACGCACATTTCTGTTCAGAAAGTAAATTTCTACCAATCAATACAACAGTGTCCCATATTTCCCCAAAGTCTGTCACTAAGGTTTAAGCATGACTCTTCCCCTCCAAAATTTCACCCAATAAACAATAATCTGTGTTCTTCTGAGAAACGCCAAACTTTCTATCCTGAGCGATTCTAGTATTTTATTAAATTTAGTCTGGGGGATGCTTTTTTAGCCTTTCTAGAAGGTAAAATTTCAAAAATTTCCTTCCGCGTCGGACCCAACCATGGTGGGTCCTCCTACGAGAGTAAACTTGATTCTTAGCTTCCAAGGTTCAATTTCTTTGGGCTGTCTCTGAAAAATGTTATCCATCCTACATACATACACACAATCATACACACAATTCAATGTACCAAGGAATATCTGTAAATACCTTCTATAGAGCAGAAATATTGAGAAATCCAAAAATATTGACTTTTGTTTTTAAAATAATTTGCCCCTCAACTGTTTCCATAACACATATCATAAATCCCTTGTGGTGCCATGACCCACTGCATACTTTATATTCATTCGCTCTGCTGACCCCCCCAATTCACATGACAGATTTACGGCCCTGCTATTTTTCCGCAACGTAGGAAAGGTAAGGTTGCTGAAGACAGTCCGCGATACCTTGAACTGCTTGACAGCCTTGGAGAAGAAAAAGTGGTTAGTGATAGCGATATAGATAATTTTCAAAAGTTTGTTCAAATGGTAATGTATTCTGGCAAGGTCAAGAGAAGCTATGTGGAAACAAGACGAAGAATAGAATGGATGAAAGTAACATCAAACTACTTCCTGATTCACATTCCTAGAAGATAGCCATTCTGAGAGCGCGCAGGCAAACCTACTGCTGGTTGCGTTGCGTAAAACCGTCCGTCAAGACTTTTTTTCGAAATTTGTGGCTGGAAGGGTCTTCTAAAGTATCTTCCTTGAAATCTTTTTGCTTCACATGCCCCCTGCTGCCTCCTTTTTTGAAGTCAAGACGGAAAAACAAGAGCCGACTTTCAGAAAGTGTTTGGGCAAATGGCGAAAGTGGCAGTGAAAATCTCCCTGCTCCAAAGAAATGCAAGAGATGTACAGAGGTACCGAAAAAGGCCCGTAGTGTCGACGAAATCAGTGCTAGTAACGAATACAAGGAAACAACAGACCAGGTAGACTCTGACCTAAGTAGCACTGAACATTCTGATGAACTAGAGAGTGAAAGGGAAGTTTATGACTTTATTTCGTCGGAGGATTCGGGCGGTAAATGGATTTGAGGCGAATATATACCGTAAATCCTCGAATTAGTCCCCTGGGGGCTTATTCATTTCTTATATTTTTGGATGGGGGCTTATACGATAGTGGGTTATAAAATTATTGTAGACATTAAGAAGACATTAGTAAACGATCCAGGAATGCGTTTGATTAGATCAGAGCTTTTGTCTTAAAATGTACTGTTCGACGGCCATTTTGCAAGTGATGACGCCATCATTGAAAATTGCTGACATCGTTAAAATAATGATATGTATATATCATTGGAAAGCTTTTCTTCAGGCGAGCCCGAATCTAGCATTTATATTGAAGTCAGACATATACTTAAGAGGTTACAATGGTTTTGAGTCTAGGAAACATAACCTTTTTGACGTCATCGGTAACGTGACCTTCGGGATCCTTTTAAAGACAGCCGTTGTAATTAGTGTTTTTTAAATTCGGTATGTTTCAGATAGAGTGAGTAGCAAATATAGTTATTTCATTTCCAACCAACTTAGTAAGTCAACCTACCTAATCTGCTTTTTTGATAATATTTGTTTGTTTATTTGAGTCTATTTATACTAGTTTCTTAATATTCTTCAAAATTGTTGCAAAACAACTGTTTAATTTCATTTACAGAACATTACCAATGGACTGGAATCCTAGCTCAAAGATATGAAGATTGCAATTTAGGAGCTCATCCTCTTAAGATAGCGTACTTCTACAACAACAATTTGAAATATCCAAACAGCCCATCGTCGTGGACATGTCGCTCTACGTTGTTCTCAACATATCAGTTTAAAGACTTTGGAAATAACTATGCTTTGCTCTACATCGGGTACTTGAACGTTCCAGAAAACTATACATACCAGCTCGAAATGTGGTGCAATGAGATCTGTGAATTTTTCCTGACATACAGCAGCGTGGAGTCAAGTCTTGGTACATTTGTTATTGTAGAGTAAGTACTAATTTTAAAGGCAATTGACAAAAACTGAAGGGACTTTAATATGAATCAAATATTGGCCAATCAATAACCATTTTTGGCTAAAGCCCTCCTCCCAACCCATTGCTCCGCGGTGCCTGTAAGCGCTATTTGTTATGAATAATCTATAACATGTGATTTGTATCATTTGATGTTGCTCTAACTTGAAGTAAATATGTGTAATTTAATGGTCACAGTGTTGCTATATTTCCTGTGGCATCATTTGTTTGCTTGCAAAATTTTACAAGAATGTAAAAGATATAACGATCTAAGTTGTATAATGCTTATTGATTTTAAATTAATGATAAGCCTGTGGTGCTCCCTCCAAACTGGGCAAATCGCCACCAGACAACCCCCTCCTCCCTTTACCAAAACATTGTCGGCAAATCTTCGATAATTTGAGTTTTTTTCGGCACCGTCTTGAAAACTTGCAACCCGCAGTTGAATAGATGTGTTTCAGTTCACATTGCAACATCTTTTTCAGGCGCGGCGCCTTTATCAGAGGTTAATTGCTTGTAGCGTTGCTTCTTGAAACTTTGCTTCCGTTCTTGAAATTTTGTTTATTTGTAGCACAGGGTCACTCTCACCATCTCTTCTTCTCTTTGGGTTGCCTGTATGTGTTTAATGAAATAAGGGAAAAAGTTTCTGCACCTGCAAGAAAAAGAATTAAACTGAAATGGCCTGTACATGGCCGTTGTCAAACATTTGATGATAATTATCGAGCATCTCACAACATTAAGTATCATAAAGACTTGCTGATTCTGGCCCCATTACTGAAACATCACGACGAGTAGATGTTAGTAGAGCATAAACCGCGATCGTTGATTGAAATGCCAAATTCGGATCCCGGATTGCGGTCTCAATCTCTGAATGTAAATCAGAAAACGTAATTTATAGAAAAGGGACCCTGCAGAACAAAGCTTGTAAGATTTCCATCAAAGAATGACAAACCAGCACATAAAACGGGGCAGTTTAGTTCAAGATGGTACGAAGAATATCCCCACTTGGAATACAGCATCACAGAAGATGCAGCATTCTACTTTGTATGTTCTTTGTTTAAAGAACCAAACCAAGTATCAGGGTGGACATAGCATGGTGTTTCATCTTGGAGTAAGATTAAAAGTCGCGGAACAGTCAAGAAACGTAAGCTATTCAGCCATTTTAGCTCTGACAGCCACAAAGAGGCTATATGGTCTTATACATATTTGTGCGACCCTCTGTGTCATATTGATATCACGCTGAATAGGTCCGCACAAAATGTAGAAATCCAAGAAGAAGTTCACAAGTTAGAAGATTTAGGAGCGGTCGTGGTTTTAATGGATGTAGCAAAGATTTTGGCACAAGATATTGTCTTTCGTGGTGATGAAAAATGGGAACAGAATGGAAACTTCATTCAAATTAAGTAGTTGGTATCTTGACAATGTCCTCTGCTATATAGCTGGATGAACAGTCGTCCTTCCAGGGAATACAATGTCACATACATGGCTCAAGAATCTCAAAATGAGATGATAACGCTATTATTGCTAGATCAAATTGGACAAAAAAGTCCCCGCGCAAGAGTTTTGAAAAAGCTAGGGATGTCCTTTTTCATCAAATCTGCGCGAGATTCAATATTTCCGTTCATGACTCGACATAAATACTTTCATAACGTGGCAAAGCAGTGAGTAGCACACTGAACAAGTTGGATAGCAACGGCACGCTTAACTACAACTACCAGAGAGCCTGAAAGCTACAATAAACAGGAAACCAAGAACTGATTCTTGTGGAACACCAAGGAACAGTTTTTTGTAGATACTGTATAACCCATTGACTTTAACTCTCTGATGCCTATCTTCCAAGTAGATGTTAACAAAAAACAGTGATTCATGGCTGAATCCGCAAGCAATTAGTTTGCTATAAGGAGGTCATGTTTAGTACAATCGAATGCTTTGATAGGTCTATTAGGATTGCGCCAACATTTTCCTCCTTGTCTAAGCTTGCTTTCCATTTTTCAAGCATTCAAGCAAACGCGAGTTGCACATTGTGCCCTTTACAAAAACCACATGAACGTGACAGGAATGATGTTTGCATATAATCAATAATCTATTTATCCAAGTCTCTCAAACACCTTTGAAACAGTTGGCAATACACTCATCGGTCTGTAATCTTTCTTACTGGTTTTCTCCTCCGCTTTATGAAGGCAGTTGACAGCTGCTAGTTTTAATCAGTGGTTATAATAACTTCGGAAGGACAACATTTTAAATACCGTTTTTGAAAATATGCTGCTCCGATTTGAAGCAAATATCGAAGCTACAAAGGCAGCCAAGAAGAATTGACAAGAATCCAGAAACCCGAACAGCAAAGACCATCTTCCAGTTGTTTAAAGCGGATTTCTTTATGGTTCTTGATGTGCAGATACAGCAATTTTGTTTCAACTTGTCACAATGTCTCCAAAAAGTAAAACCTCTTTCTTCCTTGCAACCTCCATTGAAAGAACCTTTCATTGAAGAAACAAATGTGAAAATGTAACCCAAACATGTTCCAGTTGACACTAAATGTTTACATGCAGAGTTTGGGAATTTCATCAGTCATTGGAAAATTATTGGCAAGGATCTAGCTTCTGATGCTGACGCTATTGATGACAGCACTGGTCACTGTTGCTAAAAATAAACGCACATTTAGCCGTCTGAAGTTTGTGAAAACCTACTTGCAAACGACAAATGACTGATGATCGTTTAAACTCTCTTATGCTAATGTAATGCGAAATGGATCTAATCGACGCTATCAATATAGATGCAGTTGCAGCTTCTTGGGCAAACTGAAACATAGAAGAATTAAGTTCTGAACAGTTAACAACAATAAAATTCATTAAAATAGTTACATAGATATTTTCTTCTTTTTGAAAGTATCTGCAATCTTAAAATTCTTGAGGATAAACATTTGCGAGTCTTATCAATGAAAATTATAACCTTTCAAGAAACACTTCCGACAATACACTGGTTCTGCACCCCGTCCCCACCATGAAAATTTTCTAGCGACAGCTCTTTGGGTTTATATGAGAAAATTCCACACTTGTCAGATAGTTGCCAGGAGAGCTAATGCCCAAAGGTGTTTGATTGTAAGAGGCAAATGCATATAATTGGTCTTGTTCTCAGAGAAGTGCTTTACATGATTTAGACTGCCAGCATATATCAGTCGAAGTGAAAGTGCCAGACAAAATTGATGCAAAAATTAAAGCTGGAGCTGGCATCTTTCAATCAAATAATTGACCAGTCAGATGACTTAAGCTATTTTAGTTTCTCTTGACTGACTTAAATAAGTCCCTTTTAATTAACAGGAAGTAGTTAGGTGAGCACCCAGTTTGCTGAATCACTATTTTCTCCCAAGCCTCACAGATAAGGCGAAATAAAGACAAATTGATTTATAACAACAATGCTTATTAAATCCTGCATATTATTGGTACTGTAAACAAAGCGATATAATATGCTAACTCGATATACAGCGCTTTATAATTATAAAGTGAGTGTTGAAGAAAATTTGTAGTATTGATCAAAAAATGGACAGAAGTAGCTTTCGCTTCTGTAATTTTGACTGTTTATGGTGAGATTTTATCTATCAAGAGCTTCTACGATTCAACGTATCATAGTTAAGGCAAGTTCCTTCTTAGCATTTGTTATGTATTATTTTTGAATCGCTGTAGAAATTCTTGTAAATTATTACCTTGTAGTTACAGAAACCCAACATCAATAACTATGAACACAGGACAACTGTCTAAGTCTGTTGAATACCCGATCAAGATCTTCACAGCAGATTCAATTGGAAATGACTACATACGTGTTAGACATAGAAAAAGCAATGTTGGTAATTTTTCTTCATCTTGGAGTGGAATGATACGTAATCTCAAAGAAGGTGGGTTAGAGGAAAGTGAAAAAACAATTTTGCTCTCATTTTTCTGATAAACATTACAAGACGAAGTCTCAATTACCAAAAACATTTTATAGTGTTGAATGACAGGGAAATCTGTTAACCTGATGATGTCCCAATTTATCGGCCGGTTATAGTTCCCAATGTTAACCCGGTACACCTGCATTTTTCTCTGAAACAACATAATAATGTTTGTCCTTTGTATAAACATTTTTGAGCAAGAAAAAAGCTGTGAATGTTGCCAAGATCCATCATACTCTACCGTTTAATTATTTTCGAGCATTTTACTGCCGATAAAAATTATCGACAACAAACTATAAAATTTGATAGTTTTATAAGAATTGGACCTTCAATTGTACCGCGAAGCAGGGTATACACTCTCCTTACTAAAGTATTGTACCGCCCAAATCCAGCAGAAATGTAACTTGTACCAATCAAACTCAAACGTATAAATTTTGAAAATCAACAATAAAACTGGAATTTGGGTTCCATCGACGTTGATACCGTGCCGACGAATAAACTTTTTTGGCAGTGTGTGCCGGTGCATTGTTTTGTAGGAATCTGAAAAGTATCCCACTAACTCCCCCTCACTTCATAGACAGGGCTATTTGTCTTTTTTCTGGAATTGGCACAGATTCTGGAAGCTTTAAGGACGAGTACTTTCTTAAGAAAAAGGAGGATAAAAGAAAAATATTTGTTTCAAATTATTTCACTTCACCTCACTTGAAGCAGTTGATCTCCATAACACAGATAATTATGGTGTCCCCTGTCCACCTCAAAAATGTGTTTTTCTTAATAGCTTTAAACAGGATTTTCTGACAGTTAAAATGTTTGCCAGATTATTGAAAACTTTTCAAAAATATCTGCTGAAATATTTGCTACAACATTTTGCTAAGATGTTTTTCTCTACTGTATATTGCTGAATTACAAAAATTCTTGCAAAAAATTGCTAACACATTCATGAAAGAATTACTGAGATAATTTTTTAAATGTTGCTAGAACAATGCTGAAGATTTTTGAAAAAAAATTATTTATTTAGAAAATATTGATTTAATACATTTTTGAAAATTGCTTGAATATTTGTTTTAAAAACACTCAATTGTTTGTCAAATTTGCACTTATAAGAAGTTGATTAGGAAATGTAATTCAATTTTTAGGTGATACAGCAAAGAGCATACCAGTTCCAGTTTTGACTGTGATAAACTCAACGGCAATCACTGCAACACTTTTTTCTGTTCCGTATCTCCCTCCTCTAGACGGATGGACATATATTCCGGACCATGAAATTCGGTATTATGAAGACGGAAATGCAACAAACTATCGTACCATAACCGTAACGGGCAGTCTCCCACAAACACGTATGGTATCAGGGTTGAAAAAATACACAGCCTATCGGTTCTATGCCCTTTATTTTGGTACAATAAATGGCAGTAGTCAAAATATCATGTCTGAAAGCTCTTTACAGAAAACTGATCAAGACAGTAAGAATATTACATTGCTTATGCTACTTTTTAAGTAAAGCTGTTTATATTGCACATAATACACTAGTGCGGATAATGCTATTTATGAAAATGCATCTTGTATTTTTTGTCGCAATATTTCACTCCATTTGCATTTTTTATGCTTTCACTCTAATCATGCATTCTTTGCTCTTTTTATAAACGTTTTTATAACCTATTCCAATTTATAAGTATAGATCATTTGATTCTTTGGAGAAATTTTTTAAACATTTTCATCTGCATTTAATCTTTTATTCAAAGGAAAATTTGTAAAGAAGTGACTAAAATATCAGCTATGTCTGTAAAAATAAACTTGATTTCAAGAATATTTATTTAAATACAGTAATACAAAGCCAAAGTACATACTTTTGATGTTACTACAGTTTTGAGAATTATCTTGCTATTGAAATGCCCACTATTGTATTTTTCTATTTAAGCACTATTATGCAAATAAGATGATTTTTTATACTTTTGTAAACGTTTGGCTATTCCTTAAAAAGTTATAAATGACAATTATACCTCACCTCGATCTATCTTTCTTGCTTACAGCATGTTTTTGATATACATGCAGCATTTATCACATCCGCATTCATAGTTAACATCTTATACTTTCGATTTCAATGTTAATTGTAGTCCCTGAGGCAGCCCCAGAAAGTCCAGTTGCAATCAAGAATTCATCAACCTCCATATTGTTTAGCTGGCGTCCTTTAAGTGACGAAAAGCTTTGGAATGGCATACCACTATTTTACAAGGTGCAATATCGAGAAAGAACTGATGGCTCTAGCTGGATGACGACAGACAGGATGGCAGATGTAAACTCATATTTGGCAGTGGGTCTAAAAAAATATACAAACTATGAGTTTAAGGTGGCTGGGATGACAACAAAGGGAGCCGGAGTGTTTACTATGGCTATTGAAGAAAGAACAGATGAAGACAGTATGTGTTTTAATGCATAATTACATTTGCTTTGTTTATTGCAACATACAGGTATTATACATAATAGAAAAATCACTTTTATCATTATTTTGCAGAAATAGCTTACAGTACTTCTTCATTCTAGTTCTATCATTTCTGGGCCGATTGAAAAGGGAATCGGAGAAATTTATCTATCATTATTTTTAGACCTTTGTGAGATACTCTGAATTTAGAATTTCTGAACAGAAGCATATATTCATGATAACTGATAAAATGCCTTTCATAGAGAGAATTGCAGTGTAAAAAGCTGTTTCATATTATATTTTGATTTACCGAAAGCTATTATTTCAGGAAGACATGATGGACTCACAGCTTTGTGTCAAGTTAGATATTTATATAATTGGATAAAAAGATATTACACACAGATAGGTAGTTACTTGATGTGCTTTGATGAGCACATAATATCTCAAGTCTATGCAAAATTCTGAACGTCATTTAGAGGAGAGAATCCTGTAAATTCGAAAAGCGTTAGTTCTGCCCCAACTAACTTGCAACTGCTGCTAGGCCAATGATTCGGTCGATGATGATAATTGTTAACTAAGACCATTTCCTTGCAGCACACTCTGCAGCAAATTAAGGGTTTAAATTTCTACATCAACTTTTGCAATGCATTCATGAATAGAGATTCTCCTTCTTTCAAGTCAGTAAAAAATTTCAACGAGAAATAGGCCCTGGAAAGCCGTATCTCATTGCCGTAGAAATAGGCGTTACTAAGCAATAGGAATTGAGACTACAACACGTGCTTACAAAAACAAAATAGGGCCTAACAACACAAAACAGATGACCTAACAAAACTGCTGACCAAACAAAATCGCTGACCTAACAAAACCGCTGAACTGACAAAACCGCTGGAAAGTTAACAAGTTAACAAGTTGTAGTTCAACCCAACGAAAAGTCATTGTTCATAACAAAGTCTATGTTTTTTTCTAAGTTCCAACAGCTGCTCCTGTGTCCTTTCATATTGCTGGCAGCAAAGGATCTGCAATGTTAAGTTGGCAAGGTATACCAGTTGAGCATAGAAATGGCATCGTAAGAGGCTATGTCATACATTTCAAAATAGGCAACAAAGATACCAAATGGAATGAAACAATAAGCACTGCTTTAAATACCACCGTTAATGGTTTAAAGAAAAATGAACATTATGAATTCAAGATTGCTGGTAAAACAGACAAAGGAATTGGGACGTTTGGCAAGTCTTTAAAATTTTCAACATATGAAAGTAAGTAACTTTCTTTAACATTATCGTTCCCGTAGGAAAAGCATATTAACAAAACGTTTAAAATATGAAAAATTCAGGATATAGGGACATCAGTGTAACTAACTTGAATGGAACAAGGGCAATTTAAATGTTTTTGCGAGAAGAAATTTGAGCCAGAAACATTGATTCATGAAACTGTCTAGAACAGTTTTTCAATTTCGTCTCGTGAGCATTACAAACATGAATTAATTCTACATCTAAAATTCTTGATGAGTCATATACTCTAGGTGTTCAAGTAAACTCCTTCTTCATTTCCGCAGTAGAAATTGGTACTTTTTGGGCTTCCTGAACTTTTGCTTTGTCCATTTACATGTTCATTAATTTTGACATTCCTGAAATATCGTCCTTTGCTGTAATAAAGATTAAATTTTCACAATCTTTGCTTTAACATCAGCTTGCAATTACTTAATGTTTAAGTATATACTTTTCATATTCTAGCGAATCAAGTCGACAAAGAAGCTCCTTCTGCTTTCATTACTAACATCAAATTCACAAATATGGCGTTAGTTAAGCATCTTTCAAAAGTAGTTCAAGTCACTTCTACCGAGGAATGTTTCAACGTTTGCAAAAACTGCTTCGAAGCAGGAAGTGGATGCAGATGTGCCTCTATAAATATCAAGAGGGCAGCCGCAACATCAATATGGGGATGTGAAATCAACGAGGAGAGCAAGGAAGCATTTCCTTGTGATTTTGTAGCAACGGAGGGTTCCCAGTACTATGAAGTCAGCTAGGCAATAAAAGGAGCGAGTTTTCTGATTCAGTAGCTAACACAGCACGGAAACTCAAAAGCAGATGTGAGATCAATATGGTTCTTACGCCACAGGATGATACCTTAACCATCATGACTGCTGTAAAAGATACATTGATGGTTTAGGGTTGCAGCATTAAAAAGTTTTTACATATCGTAATTTTCAATTTTACTGTTAATGAAAGACACTTTTATTTGCATTCGATCGAGATTAACTGCAGGAAGCAATGTTCTAAACGTTCTTTCGACGATCTTGAACTCCGACTAGCAATTAGACATGGAATTTGACATAACCATCTAGCAATCAGCTTAACCGAATTTTTTAAAGTGTAAATCACAAGATTAAAGGCAACTGATTATTTATGCTTGGGAACATTAAGGAAAATGACCGGAAGTTCCTTTCCAGAAGCATGAAAAGTGCACGGCCAGCAAATTCAAATTATTCTGATGACACCATCAGAAACAGCTTGCAAAACTGAGCAATGTGATCTGAATTATTAGGAAAATGTTATGATTGTTGAGATTTTTCGTTTTGTCAAACAACTTGCTTGCATAACAGTAGAATTGTGCATGTCTTGATAATGGCTTGAAGTTTGGTACAAGCACACGATGCGATTTGCTGATTAATATGAAAACCAATCATACTTCAAAAATGCCCAAAAGAGCTTTTTTTAGACTAGGTTACCTGTACCCATTACTATTTTAGGTATAGTACTGAACAGTGGTTAAGCCACTCTGGAGAGTTTGTCATGCACTTGGGAAAATAAGAAAGTAGTTGGGGTTTTCAGCACCTCAGCTAGGTACCGAGTTCAAGTCAAGTGGTTAGAACAGTTCCCGTTAGAAAAGTGTTATCAGCTATTGTGAAATATCTAGAAAAGCCTGAAGTGGGCGAAACACTGTTAATTATTTGCAAAAAAACAATTTTTAGAACTTCATTTAGACATGTTTTGAAGAAGCCTTGGTTTTAGGTGCTAAATTTGCTTTTGAATCCAGAAATTCAATTTTAACTTGTTTTTAATGTTAACTTGTTTTTTATTTATGCCATTTGATTAATTTATATTTTAATTACTGTTTCAAGAGCTGTTTGATTCACCTAATTAAAAATTCAGATTTTCAAAACATTATGTTTAAATGTTTAAATTGTCTTTCTCTCATACATGGCAAGAAAAATACACATTTGATGATCCTTTTCCTATTCCTTGACTTAGAACTGTTCTACTTGCAAGTACCAATAGTGTTTTTTTACAATAAATACTGTCTATCCAAACATTAATTACTGTATTTACAGGCTTTGCTATTCAAAGTCTCGTTCAGTGGATTCGAAAGAATCAATTGATTTTTGATGAAACATTAATTTTAGAAATAGCCAAGAAAAAGTGTGTTTCAGTGCTTGAAGTGCTTGAAAATAGGGTGAAAAGAAGAGGCATATCAAGGATTCAGCTTTGATGAAAATTTCCAAATGTAAAAAGCCCTAACATCGTTTTTGAAATTAAATATTTCAATAATTATTATAACAACAACATTCATAGATATACAAAAACATCTACAGGCTTCTTTTATAAGCGGAAATAAATAAGTGAGAAAGCAGAAATTTATTTTGTCATGCTATACTGTATTTCTTTTCATTTGTTATTCTTAATTTGGCAAAGCAAATTTTAATCAGGAAATAGAGAGTTTTCCTCTGAAACAATCTCGATACTCTCATCTCACACAGCAACAATAAAAAAAGGCATGATATAATAACGACTGAAGGGTTAAGACAATAAAAACTTTATTCAATTTTGCATCTCATCATGAAAAATGGCACAATTGTGTTTCTTCTATTAACAACTAGTTCTACAGGCCATTTTTTAGTCTGAATATGCCAGGGTACATATGTATTATGTATATTTGGCATATTATGGTATGTACGTCCATTACAAATAAATGAATATTTGTAGCTTCCCAATTATCAGCAAAAACTGATAGTGATATCAACACGTATAATCAGTGAGTTTATTTCACGTTTTTTTTGCAACAGGAGAGTTGAGTGCCTCTGTCTAATTAGCATCTGGGGCAATGCCCCTCACCCAAAAAAAATATTCAAAACAAATCTAAGAAATTCGTATTCATTCAATGTAAGCTTGCTTTTTAATATTTAGAAACAACATTGATTTTTAATCAAAAAGCTATGTTGGTGTAGCATGAGATGATTAAAGAATAGTATTTTGACCCTGAATCAGGAGACATCCTGTTTAATAAAATTGAAGATTTTCATTTGTCGCTGATTTTGTTTAATGTATATTTCGTAACGGCCCAAAATTCCATTGGTGGTTTCCCTTAACAGCTGGATGTTTTTGAGAAAAATGTAAATAATCCAAGCAAGATTTGCGGGATCTGATTTGGTAGACAAAGCGTCTGATTGGATGAAAACGAATTTCCGCCTTGCCCTGAACACTGCTTGATAATCGCAGCGTCTCAATGCCTAGAACAACCTTCGGGTGATGTGTAGCAACAAATATAGGCAGAAAAAAAGCTATAAATTTTCTGATTGGAAAACTAAACATATTTCCTGTTCCTCTGTTTCTTCGGATTCACCTTGTGTATATTATTTCTTTTATAACTATATGTAAGTACAATTAACGTGGAGAGAATGTCCGATAATGGTGAACAATTGTGGAGGAAACTGACGATCAAAACGATAACAGAATAGACTTTTACTCCGAAAATACGCAAAGGAAATCTATACAAAGATCATTGTAAGCTGCAGCAAATGCAATTAGCCTAAAATTGTTTCCAAACTTTTGGCAACATATTTGGATATTTGATCCCTTTGCCTGCTTCCAGAATGATTAATATAACATTTCAAGAAACTCAAAAGCAAATTTTGATAAATGGTCCCAATGACAAACCATTTTCAATAGTATTCAGTTACATAAATTATGTTAGTTGAATTATTGCAAACAGTCATCAAAGGTTTAAAGCAATTTTTTTAAAAGTTTTCGCCAATAGATATAAATACTCTTTCATGCCTTCAGAACATCAAGCTCAAGAGTAAAAAATTGTATTCTCTACTTTGTTAAAAGCAATGAAACAATCAACCGCGCTATTCTTCCTCCCACATTACTTTCGATTCACACCTTGATATATTTTTTCTTACCTTTGGATATTATTTGACGTTTGTACTCTGACAGTGTTGGACGAAAACTACTTTTTTATATTTTGTTCCTGCTTCTTGTAGCTATTTTCTAATTGATATGTTTTAAAACCATGATATGTGGTAGTCTGTTTTTTACAAAAATATTTTTATTACTTGTTGCTAAATGACTCTATGCTACTTGCTACAGTATATACTATCATTTATAAACAAATCAGATTGTGAGTAACAGTATTCCAATGGCTCACTCATGGATATGCCAGATATTATAATTTTGGGCAAAGCAGCTACAGACAGTACAAACAACAAAGTCAAAAAAAGTCTTTTGATTAATTATGAAGCAATGTTTTCAATTATACAGTAGTTAAGCTGTCTCTTGCTTCATGCAATTAATCTCGATCGAATACAAATCAAAGTGTATTAATTAACAGTAAAATTGATCAATT